GAATAGAAAGTTCTCGATGCTGACGACTTGCGCGCCGGTAGCAGCTATGACCAGCACTTCCTCAGTGCCATTGGCTCATCATACTGAAATAGCAACTCTCAACTCTCAATACTTCGAGAGATATGCCATGAAATGTTAGTGTTCCCTAAGTTTTGTCCGTGAGTGTACGCAGGCAGCCGAGTGCGCACAGGACGAACCGGTGGCGCATCAAGCGTACCGACTGCGCATTCAAGTTGATGCGTTGTGACTCATGCTAGAGAATCGATCGCAGGGACTGCGAGGGACGTATGCACCAACCCGTCGCAGGAGCAATGTGCCCAACTCACGACGGCCAACTCACAACGTGCGGGTCACACCGTGGGTGCGTCCCATTGCATTAGATGCCATCCCAAACACGGTTTGATATGCCATATAATACCTATCCTTTCAGCCTCGCAGCATGTTGCTCTAACAGTTCCTTGGCTCTCTCCATGAGTTTCGCATGCTCGCCTTTGTTTCTTGAGGCACCAGCCTCGAACTTTTCTTCGACCTCGACCTAGGATGTCGATCCAGACACTGTCATCCTGCATCAAGTCGAGTTCTTACCGGAATGGCCTTGGACGCCATGGCTTCCAAATCCGAGAGCTTCGACCGCAGCTGCTGCAGCTTTCTTGTCGTGTCCGTGCGACGAGAATCCTTCTCAGTCGTCGTCCTAGTTGGTGGTGGTGTCGATGCGGTGGTGTTCGTGGCCTGCACGACCAGCGGCGGCTCCCTCACATGCTCTAGCAACGAGTTCAGATCTCCCGTCGTCGATGCCACGCTCGGCGCTGCATCCTTCCCCGCATCGTTGCGTTCGTCATCATCGGAAACGTCGCCGAGAAGGTCGTCCAGGTCTCGCTCAAGTTCCGACAACGGGCGCTGCTCGAGGCTCTCTCGGTCGTCGTTGCTGAGGTCCGAAAACTCGGCGCGCAAGTCATGTTCGAGCTGACTTATCTGGGGAGTCGTGGTCTCTTTGCGGAAGGGCGAAGGCGACACAACAACGTCGTCTTCGTCACTGCTTATGTCGTCGAGTGCACGCTGCAATATCTCGTGGTCATTCCATTTGAACGATGACGCACGGCTGCTTCCAACGCTCGAAGACGACGATGGCGTGCGCCGTGGGCGTTGTGAGACTGTCTCGTTCCCTTGCAGTCTTGAAAAATCTGGTTTTGCTGCAACAGTCGGGCTGCAATCAGCAGGGGGCTGGGTCTCAATTCTGCCAGTTTGCCACGGGGTGGATTCGGAGGCCACGGGAGCAGACGGCGTTGGGTCGGATGGGTTCCCCAGTGACGCGTTGCGACGAGTGTTGCGTTGGTGCAGTGGAGCCGAGGGATCTCTCTGTTTCTCCGTATTCATATCGTTTGGGGATGGTGTGCTGGATGCGGTCGGGCGTGGCTGGTCGGATGATGGTCCATGCACCTCACTGTCTCTTGATTTGAATTCAACGTCGCTTCCATCGACATCATCGTCGTCATTGTCCTCAGCTACTATGGGTGCGCTGGCGCGCCGTCGCGCCCGTTCCTGCGCTAACATTTGCATTTGCCGCTGCTTTTGCATGCGCTGCTCGTTGAACTTTGTCCGCCATTCGTAGCGCAGCTTGGCCTCTTCGCGACGTAGTTGCTTGGCGGCCAAACGTTCCCGTGCCTCGTTCTGCGCGGCAATTTCTCTGTTGTCTTCGTCTTTCCAACCGTCAAATACCTATGACGCCGACCGTTATTGTCCATCCATTCTCGCGACGGAATTGGGATCACGAGAATACCATTTGATCATGCAGGTCTTGTTCGCGCAGTTGGGCAAAGAACTCGAGTCGCATCTGCTGCAAGCGCTCTTCACGCTCGCGGTCCTTCGTAAGCTCGGCCACGCGGCGATGGGCATCGAATTCGAGTCGTGTCAACTCTTCTTCGTCCATTTGCTGCTGGCTGCGCATCTTTTCCTTCTCCGAGTGGACGTTGAGCTCATCGAGCCATCGATCGTGTTCCGCTTGGAGGATCTTGGTTGTTTCACGCAGCGCTTCTTTTGCTCTCTGCTCCATCAAGGCAATCTACTCGACGGTAAAACCACCCGATCAGGACCAGATTCGCGTACTTGTTGCAGTCGTCGGTCCCGCGTTTGTGCATGTAGAATATTGAGTTCCATCAACCGCGCCTTCTCCGCTTGCATGGCTTGCATTCGTCGTCGCTGTTCGGACTCCAGAATATGGACTTTGTCGTCCATCCACGTGGCATGGGCAGCCTCAAGCTCCCTCGTCCGCGCTTCGATTTGGCTCAAGAGCTGCCGCTTCGACTCCAATGCCGCTTCCTCTGTCGCAATTCTGTTGCGCTCCTACGAATAATTTGCCTTTTCAACCACACGCCGATACATTCTCCGTGGAAGGCGAGTACCTGGATTTGATAATCTACCACAAATGTAGGGTACCGCGTGAACGCTGGGTACTGCCCCGGGGGCAGCGGGAACCAGACGTCATCGTTCGAGTCGTCCGCGTCCACAAGCTTTGGCAATTGGATCGCGTGCATGGTTACGATCCACTGCTTGACTTGAAGCGGCTGCTGGTGATGAAACGACGCTTGAATCGCCGATGCCGTCGTCGATTGGAGCAACGAGTTGCGAATTTGACTCAAATATGCCAAGACCGCCGTCCACAGCAACGAAGGCTTATCCCAGTGGGCGATCAAGTTGTCCCACAAGCACAGCCAGTCGTGTCGCGCGAGGACTTCGCTGAATGCTGTAGAGACCAGGGACCAGCCGTAGTCCTGTCCGCAAGTTGATCATATTCCTTCTCGATGGAGTCGTGGAAGTACCTCTGGAGTGATGCGGTGGCTCATAAAGTGCGCGTGAAGCTGAGCGTCGCGCTGCTGCAGCGCTTGGTCGAGTCGCGTCAGTTGGGGCCGCGGGGGATATGGATACTGCAGGACAAAGTCGCGGCCCCAGTGGACGAGCACACTCAGGACAACTTCGAACGCGACCACGTCGTCGTTCACACACACTTTAACAAATGGGAACGCGAGCGCAGGCACTGTCGTGAGCTCGCCGTAGACGGGGCACCAGTGGGCCAGGGCGCTCAAAATGCGCTTCAGTCGCCGAAAGAGCCGCTGGTTCTGGATCGGGTACAGGTCATGGAGGCGAGTTGTTGTTGAGTGGTTTCCCTTTGCAACCAATTGCTCGAACGCTGCCGTGTTGATGGGGAGTCGCAATATGTACTTCCACGCCAGGAGCCTATACTTTTCAGGAAATCGACCGTACGATCGAAGAAGCTGCTGCAGTCGACGATGCTGCACAGTGTATTCGTGGAGGTTCAACGATGGTTGAAGAGGAGCTTTGCGACGCGAGGGTGTTGAACTAACAGGTGGCGGTGCCTCCGTTGCTCCGTCAATTTTTGAAGCGTCAGTATCGGCTTGAGGAGGCGCTGGAGGCTGCATCGGCACTGTAGGGGGAGGTTGGTAAGGCGCCCCAAACAGCGACTCCATCAAGGTTGACGTTGGATGCTGGTGACGGTGAGCGAGGCCCGATCGATGGGGCAAATACGACAAGTCTTCCGCGTCCGCGCGCTGTCGAATGTCCTGGACTTTATGCGCTGTTTCCCTTGCAATGTCGAGATCGTACAACACAAGACAGCCATCGCTACCCAAACGTTTAACGACTCCAGTGCTCCCACCCACGCACGAACACAGTCAGCTACCTCGAGCACGCTGCCAGGTACTTGCCGTGGCCCTCAATGGCAAATGCCGTCAGCGCCTTCACTTTGTGCGCGATTTGAAGCGACACCTTGGGCTGCTTCGACGTCACGTTGAGAAAGTTGAGCTGTCCGTCATCCCCGAGAACACCCATGATGTGCGCCGTCGTAGGGACGAATGCGTGCTGCACCACATGCCTTCAGTGTCATCGCCAGAGCATGGTTGGTGCGGTTGTACCTGCACGATGCGGTGGACCGTCGCCGGCAGTTCTATGATGCGGACGAGGGTCTGGGATTCGAACTCCCACACGTAAATAAACGGTGACTGGCCACTACCACACAAACACGCACGAGTACGATCATTTTGGTCGAGCACCATGGTGTTGAAAGGATGGAATAGTGGTAGTACCTGGCGACGATGACGTGGCAGTTCTCCGACACACTGAACCGCTTGAGGCCTGGCGGGTGCTCGTACGCGGGTAACGTGAACCGATACTGTAGCGCCAATGTACTCAACTCCCACATCAAAATCGAATCATCGCGGAAACACACGGCGACGAGCTCGCCGTTGCCGGCAAACTGCGCGGCTTCGACGCCTGGACCTGCATTGAGAGTGCGGAAGCGAGACCAATTGGCAGAGTTCCACATGATGACGGCGTCCGCGGACGCCGTGAGCGCCAGTTGACCAGGTAGCTGGAACGACACGGACGTCGGAACTTGACGGTGGCCGCGCAGGGTACTCACGAGTGCCTTCGTCTGGACGTTCACGCAGCGCACAGTCATGTCTTCACATGTAACGAGCAATTCGGTGCGTTGCACAGGAGAAAACGCACACTCGAGCGCGGGCGTGCCAAGATGACACACCAATGCATATCGATTGCGTAGAGGAAAGAACGCAAACACGCGACCTTTTTCGTCGACAGCGGAAAAAATATCTCCGCCTACAGAAAATGCCACACATCGAAACCGGGCATTGCCGACAGGACATGCTGCCGACGACGACGGGGGCTCTATCAGATCGTGTGCACCGTTTCCTGCACTTGAATTCTTGAAGGCTCGTAGGGGCAGGTTCCGAAAGCTACCCAGGAGACCCAATGGACCAACTTGAGGACGGCGCGGCCATAGTACCCCTTCTCCGTCCGCACTCAGCTTGAGGCGCACTTCGTACACCATCCGTCGCGGTCGCCGCGAATGCGCTACTCTTCCTGAGAGGAAGAAAGTGCCGGATAACTCCTTTTGAATTCATCCGGTTGAGTTGCATGGATTTCAATAGAGTACCTCGATTTCATTGGCTAAAATTCGTCTAGTTGACGAAATAGTTGTCCCAGGCGTATTTCGATTGCAATTGTCTCTGCACACCCAGCACAGGACAATGATGGGCATTGCTAGTCAATCGCAATGGTGTGAGGCAAAAGTCGAGCGCCTTTGCGAACAGGAGCGTATTTTCATTCTCGCCGAGCTGAAGGGGACCCGAGAAGGTCTATTCGTGCGATCGCGGTGGCATACTCCGTCGACGAGCCAGCGATCCGACAGTTTTGGAAGAAGCGACACTTTATAGTGCAGCCGCGCCGGTTCTAGCATCCCATTTAGGATTCTAGACCCCGTTGCACTCCTAAAAGACATTCTACTAAGTGGATCGCCAAAATGCGCCAGCACAAGCTAAATGTCCCGGCAATAATGCTGTCCGTCAAAGCTCTCACGATATCTAAGGAGCTGTTCTGCGTGGCAGGGCAGCCTGGGTCTCCCGTGTGTTTGCCCCGCTGCGTTGGAAAATCCACTTGT